GCCGGTAATTTTTGCAGATTATCTGTCGTCTTCATTTTCCCTTATTTATTTATTTTTTTCTAGCCTAGGTATCGAGATGGGACATACAGTGTTTCATTAAGAACCTATATGGCCCTAACTTGGCTTGTCTTTGAGCTGTCGCTGACGTCGAAGGAAATGCTCTGACTCCCAACCTCATGCTCGGCACTCTGGCGGATGCATCAACTGACGGGGACGAGAGGCTGAGGTTCATGATGGTTGATCCTTATTCTCCGCCTTATTATAGTGCAGCACGAGACGACGATATTTAGACACACCACCAGTCTCCTCCTTTCGGTCCCCGACGGGCTCAGCTTGTATCACATGATAAACTCCACGAAAAACCCCATCGTGATTGGGAGTCGGGAGCATGTACAACGATGATGTCAAGAGAGGAAAAATTAGATTGTCGGGTTGCACAAAGGTATCCTTTTATTACACTTCCTTTGAATTCATTCTACATTATTCAATAGTTTTGTTTGTAATTGTTGAAAAACGTTGATATCTTCTTTTTATAAAGCAAATGGTAGAGTTGTTTGTAATTAGGCTAAAATTGAAAGGGTGATTTTTTGTTGTTATTATATGTTACTCTAATGAAAGGACAATTTTACATATAGCAAATTCAGCATCTAACATGGGAAAATGAACTATTATCGCTAATTCGGTGTCTCACAACTTCAGTTGCGCTGGGGTTTTGGTAGTCGCCCAAGTACCGAGGGCCTAAAATTTCAAGCTTATACTTATTTGGTGTCAAGAAATTTATATTTTAAAAATTTGTGGGGTTTCTTTATGCATATACATTGGGCCTCACCAAGATGTAAAGAATATATCAAACTTTGAGAGACCTGTCCCTGGGATTGAAGGGAATGGTTGAGGTTGAATGGTGAACTACAATCACGATGTCTTGTGCGAATCATGGTGGGATTGAAGGGAATGGTTGAGATTGAATGGTGAACTACAATCACGATGTCTTGTGCGAATCATGGTTGTGTCACAACATTATTCCATTTTTCATCATCCTTCAAAAGTTTGTGTCGAAACACCTATGCTTCTGATATGCTTGCATGGGATAGTCCTATTGTACTGTGATGTGAGCCCAACTTAAGACTAAGAGTCTGGTCCCACTCTAAGTTAAGTTAACCATGTTCGGCCTTGACTCGGAAATAGCTTGTGTTTAGAGTAATTTTTGCTTAGAAGAAGACCTATAATCGTCATATTCTCTGTATCTTTGAATTTAGAATCGCATTTAGGCAAAGAATTGGGTCCTTTGGTGTAAAGCAATTGAGAAAGGTTCTATGCATATATATGTATAATCTTATAAGGTGTTTCTATAACTTTTCAACTAGCAAAGGATGTGGTTTTGGCTGAAAAGCCTGTGGTTAGTGATGGCTCTAATGAACTTGGTCCATCTCTCTTGGACGAGCTTCTTGCGAACATTGCCACATTATCATTAGTATCTTGTTCTGAGTGTTAGTTGCTTGTTGCCACCTCTCTATGGACAAATTATTAATAACTTCAATGATATGTTCGTGACTGTTAATTGAACTTTTGGTGACATAGGGTACAAGCTCCAAGATATCAGATGATTCCAATAAAAACAGATGTGAATGCACTTCCTTCACTCTCGAGCATCCCAGATAAAGTGCCACTGATTACTGCCACACAGTCGAGGAGAAAGAATGGTAACGGATGTACAATTTTTTATTTATGTTTGGGTTAGACCAGGAAAGTTCAAGATAGTAGACAAGACCATTTACTTTTTCTGTTGTATAATACTACGATAGAGAAGCTGGGTAAATGTTTAAAATTTTTTTTGCTTAAATTAGATACATCAGATCTTGGATTTTGACCTGTATATAATTTATGCTTTAGGTGCTATGTCCACAAATATTGTGTTGGCGTAGTTTGATTTTCTATCTCTCTAATTTATGTCGCGACCTCTTCTTTTTCTTTCGGTTTCTCAATCGATAACATAAATTGTTCTAAAAATCAGATTGCACGTGTAAACTTCTATTATCTTAATAGTGATTATGTTATGTTTGAATTTTCTGATTATTTTGTAGACAGAAATAGATCGAAGAATTCATCCGCTCAGAAGGCTTACAATATGACTAGGTTTGTTTCTAAATTTGTAGTTTACTATCAGTTTGCTATTCTGATTAAAAAGTTATAAACTTTAGTTGTTTATCTATTTAGTTTTCTTTAAATAGGAAATTACCATGCTAACCATGTTATATTAGCTATAGAAGGATAAAGTTGTTTGTTTCTTCAATTGTTGATTATACCGTATGGTCGAGTTGATTTTTGCATTTCTTTAACAAACATGTTTTTTCTTATGCATATGAAGTTGTTCATAATGGTTAACGACTGTGTTTATTGAGAATGATTGTATAATACCCAGCCAGGTATGTCATTAGATTGTATTCCGAATTCATTGAGTCTTAATAACTATTCTTGAAAATATAACGGTATAACCATAAGTGCCATTTGTTTTTCCAGTAATAAGGTTGAACATCAATATCTATCTGTAATTAACTTTTTTATAGTGCACTGTATATCCATTTGGATGATGTTATGATTGGTACGAAATGATTGGCAGTATCATTTGGATGCCTAAATGATCATGTTGCTATCCGATAAAATTATCACAATTTGTTTGTGAACTTTTATGTTAATTCCTTGTGAATGTAGTTAGTTATATCCTGATTCAAATTTGATGTTTGCTGGAAAAACCAAAAATGGATGAAGTAGGAAATCCATCAAAAGAAGCCGTTTGCGTTGCGAAGATTAGGAAATGCCCGGTCCTCCATTTCAAGTGCGTGTAAGGTACTGTTTCAAACTTTACTTATTCGGAACAATCAAATTTTACTTTTTGGGAACAACTGCTACTACAAACTACAAAAGTTTTAACCATATTTCCAGAATAATGCGACACTCTAATATACTAATATCCATTCATTACCCACAAACAATCTTTACTTGAAGATTTTCAAGTCAAAATAAAAAACAAAAGGACATGTGGGAATGATCACTCTCTTATTGCCCTGTTTCTGTCCTGTTTCTGTGGAACGCGAACACTTGCATCCGTTAATTTTTTTTTTTTTTTTTTTTTT